AAACTTTCATGAAAATCTGTTCACTACTTTGCTTACAGACAAACAAATAAACAGGGGGAACATAATCTCGTGGCAATAATAACCAGCCCTGTGTTTGAGCATTGCGAGGGATTATCACCAGATACTTTACCTTTATAAGTCTTAGTGCTTCTTCATCTGTGGTGGTTTCATCTTTACAACATGCACTAGAGCAATACCAGAAATGTCTGATGATGTGAGGAGACCAGTCTTTTATCTTCTGCATTGCTTTTGGTTTGCTCAACTAAAATGCACATCACACTAAGTACAGTACGGATAATGTACAAAATGGTAATAATAATTGTATTTTGCAGTGATTTTTTACATTTATCTGACAGCCATCAGCCATGCAATTCCAATATGCCTGTGTGTGACGTATTGCAACATACTAACCTTTGTCAGACATTTTTTAATACTTTTTGACTTGTGCCACACATCCAAACTGTATGTTATGTCTTTATATTCTGATTCTAAAAGTGAAAATGTTGATTTATCAAGGAAACACAAAGAAAAGCAGGCATATAGCCGGGGGGGGGGATTTGGGGGGGGGCAGACTACACACCTGAAGGAAATTAATAACCATGATATGCATATAATGTTCCAAAACATATAAAAACATTATCTGAATCATGACGATTGTAAAATAAATTATATTTAAAAATACCCATTAATGCTTTTACAGAAGTGGAGGCATCGGTCACCAGCTCGGCCACTTTAATTTCCGTAGTAAGACGATTCAGACTTCGCCGCACTGCCTCTTTCTCCATGTTTGTCGAAATTAGACCAACATGCCTCTTATCCAATACTTCAATGTCAAGAATGTAATTTGATTCTGCTTCCATCATGAAGTAGCAAAGATTCTTGGCATTGAAGCCTGGAGAGTCACATTGGCCATCACCACCAAGAACAATATCTTTCCCTGAGAACTCCTTGATCAATTCACCCCTCATCAAAGCCCACCACTCATTTACTTCAGGGATCAAATACAGGCGCTGCAATCTATAGTATGTTGACTTGGACAGAAATTCCAATTTTAGAAAATTGGCCATGCGCTCTACTTTGCAAAAATTGCTTCCAGATAGAATGACTGAGGCGGCCGCCTGTAGGTTGTTGGCATAGATGTCATTTACTAAGTGAGAGGAGCAAAACCTATATTTATGCCCGGATGGACATTGGCAATTCACAATCACTGTTACACCCACAAAGCTAAGTTTTACAGTGGGTAAAGCAGTGCACCCAGGAGTATGGCATCTTGCTTGAAATACTGCAAGAAGAATATCCAGAGAGCAAACAAATTTTTGTTCTTTCACCATACTGAATTCTTCTTCCAAATCATACGCATCATCCCCTCGGCTGAATTTCCGATGAGGTCCATAACTAACTGCAGGAGTGCTGATCGAGTGCTGTGAATAATCTTCCCGATGTTCATCGTCCTGATGTTCATCAGATGGCTCATGACCCAAATCAAGATCAGATGAATCAGAGTCCTCATCACTACTTGAACTTATGGAGCTAAAAATAACAAAATATAGTGCTGTATAAATAATAGATAGTATATTACAAATAAAGAATAAAGATCCCTTTTCAGTTTGCTTCTGTTTATTAGGCTTCAATATAACTAGAATCAGGATTGGACCTTTAATTAACCATTCATTAATTTATAAATTTTTGCCAGGTTTGTAGTTTATCTATAGGGTTTTTGACATGGTTTGTGTGAAATTTGATGTCAGATAACTTCCCTGAGTGGTCAAAATTTCTAGAGAGGCAGCATGAAATCTTTTTTGTTCTCAGGCACAGTAGCAACAACAGACTAATCTTCCACTGCCCAGAGTCAAAATAACACATCCCACACATACTCCCACATCGCTTCAAACAGATAACATACTCTGAATAACTTTGCTTCTCTGCATTCAAATCTTCGAGAGCTGATTTGGTAAGATCATGTATGCTGTAAGGGACACTGATGTTTATGACTCAATTAGTTCCATTCTTGTAAAAGTATTTATGACCTGACATATTTTACCTGATATAACTGGCAGCATCTTCCAGACTGCCATCACTGACATCATCCTCGTCATCCGTGAACATGGACACATTTATTGCATTGGTTATAGTAGAACTAGATATAAATAATTTGAGATACAACAAATATATTGTTGCTACGCACATTCACAATTCCATAATAAACTACAAATATTACTTTACAATCAGTACCTGTCAAGAAGGGTTGCATCAGACCGAGCAAAGCTTGTATTCGCATCAATTGTTGCAATGGTATTATCCTCGACTTCATCTCCAATAACAGGGGATTCAGATGGAGAAGGAAGCTGTAGGCTTTCTCCAGTTTTTAACGGCGTGGATGTTTCTTGGCCTTAAAGAAATTGTAATCCATTGTAATCGGCCATGTTCAATGCATTACATCCATTTATTGAACTACCCATTTGACAATTTATCAACATTGATATGGCATTCTATTGCTTGTTTACTGTAATAGTATATCATTTTGGGCTATTTATGTTTGTGGACGCATAGGGATTACCTTGATAAACATTTTGAATGGCTTGTTCTGTTATTTCTGTAGCACATTCGGTGGTTGCTTCACTTTGCGTTCGTCGCTGTGAATGCTTTATTTCCGACCTAAAATAGTTAAACAGCACACATTTCATTACGTCTTACAAATTGAATCAAACTTAAATTAAACATACAAATTTCATTATCCGTACCTTCTTCTATACTCTAAAGATAACAGATGCGCGGCGAAGTCGCTATGACTACATTTGTCGTATCCCGCCTCGCTTTTTGAGCTTTTCCACGCTTCAAAAATGTTATTCAATAAATAGATCCTCTTGTGTTGACCTCCCCACGATTTTCGTCGATTTTCGCCTTCATATTTCCTTTTTCGTCCTGCATTTTCACGATGACCTCCTCGCACAGCTCCCTGCAAGGACGCCATCTTGAATAGTGAAATATGATAGTGAAATAGTTTGAAAACGTTGGCCCAACGATATCAAATTTCACTATGCGCAGAAAAGTTGCGCAAACGGTGACACTGCTCCTTTAAGTAACGCGTTCCTGGCTGCAACGGCAGATATATCTAAAAAGTTTTTAGTTTCCCACCCTTATAAAGGGTTAAATTTGTTATTAGTGCAATGAAAATTGCTTGGATGAAAGAGTTAGTAACAAGGCCGAATTGTTGACAACCGAAATGGATGACAAAATGGCGCCTAATTTGGACAAAGTTGTGGATTTACATTGTCAATGGTTAAACAGCTATGATCTACTTGAAACCAAGTTGAAACTTGTTTAAAATGTTCCTGGTACCATTATCTGAGATGATTTACATTTTTCGAAGGATGTCGACGAGATCGCCGATAAACAGCGGAGTAAAGTGGAGAACTTGGCCAATTACGTCCATTTGCAGGAGGTAGGCACATTTCAAATTATTATTTCGGTCAGAGAATATTAACTATTTTTCACCAAACCAGTGATTATATATATTTAAATAAGTACCAATTATGATATTTGCGATGTTACTCTGAGTGTATATCCACACCAGGTGAGCTTGCAAAATATGCCCCGCCACGGTGGGAATCGAACCTACGACCTTTGGAATACTAGCCCAATGCTCTGCCAACTGAGCTACGTGGTCAGGTCGCGGTTCGATTAGGTGATATTTCGGAACAGAATCTAGTTTCTTCGATACAAATAGCCTATCATATTCACCTGAGTACACAACACCAACGCAGAAAAAATCATATTACTAGATTACATTGGTATCGAAGGGAACTAGATTCTGTTCCGAAATATCACTTACTCGAACCAGGCAGAGCATTGGGCTAGTATTCCAAAGGTCGTAGGTTCGATTCCCACTGTGGCCGGGCATCTTTTTCAAGCTCGCCTGGTTTGGATACACATTCAGAGTAACATCACAAATATAACATTCACCTGAGTACACAACACCAACACAGAAAAAATCAAAGTACCAATTATGTGTCTATAAAAAAGATTTAGGGGAAAAGGTATTGTAAGTCCACTGCTGTTTATATGAAGTTGCAAACCACAAATTGACGTTTAACTATATGTCATTATTGCATGGTCATTTTCTTGTGAAATATTAGTGCTATGCATTTCCCACTTACCAATGACCACCCCCAAAAGTACCATCTCTGAACCATATAAGCGCCTCAAAATAGCCAAAGCTTTTATGGTTTGGTAGATAGCAGTATGGCGAAAGCGTCGTTTTTGGGTGCGGTCAGTTTCGGACGTTTCGCCCCGGATTACGGTTCGGGCAGCGTTACCATGTTGACCGTCATAGTCAGCTTGCCCCAAAACAGTTGAGATCATCTGTCCTAAATGAAATGCATACAAACTCACATACAGGCCCTCGACTATGCCCGTGGAGCATCGATCTAGTAATTCAAAGGTCGCTGGTCCAAAACCCAGCCGTGTCAAGCCGAGTTTTCTGCTTGCGTGTGGTCTGAAAGCTATGAAATATCTCACTCGAGCACATTTTCTTAATCATATTGGCGAAAAACAGGAATACAATATATTTGTTAAAATTTTGCTACTTTCAACATTTCAAGTACCTAATGAAATGATGTTCCTGTTTTATAGAAAACTTTCTTGTCTATCTTTGTCTACCTTTGTCTATCTTTGTCTATCTTTGTCTATCTTTGCTTATATTTGCATATCTATTTATTTATCTATAATATACAGTTGTTAATATATATGCAACCAGTAATACGATGAGAAAATACCGTGTTCTTGGCATTATAAAAGCTTGTTTCCAACCTCGCTCTGCATACAAATTGTAATACGAAATGAGGAAATTATTTTTGATATCCGAACTGCGGGTAAAATAGAAAAGGTGTACGACGATCTCGACACGAAGGCTTCTACAGGTATCAGTGTTTTTCAGGCTGCAATGGACTAAATTCCTGATGGCTACTCTATTATTGGGCAAGTTGCAGTTCGTCAAACCAACGCAGAAGATGGACCCGTATCATCCCTAATTCTGGTAAAGCCTTCACCTGATCTGATGCATCAGGCATCCAGTGAATTACCATCTGGAATAGAATGGAATGATAAGGGCACTGGGAGTGTGGAGGATCGAAGAATGGTTCATTTTGGAGAATCAATGCCCCGAAGGGCTACGTGGCATTGGGGGACGTTGTTACAAACAACTACTTGGAACCGTCCGATGCATTCACTTCCAAGTATGCCTGCATCAGAGAAGATTTGGTGGGTTCTAGGCGTGTTAAATTCCCGATATATATGGAATGATCAAGGTTCGGGAGCAAGATTGGATGGATCAGTTTGGCAAGTTGATGGCCCAGGTCTTGCAGGATTCTTCAAAGTTGAGAATGGCTACCAGAAACCAGCTCTACCAATCTTCCTGCTGCCTGCCATGCTAGTTCAAGAAAAGTGAAACTTATGACATTTATAGTTTGAATTCATATACTGACCCTTTTCTGTTCACTTTCTTCCTATATGTAATTGTAACGACATATTACTACACTGTTTCCTGGCAAATATAGCTGTGTTGAAGCCTGCGATTTGCGGGCTGTACGTGTGCGGGCTAACGCGCACGTTCAATACACAATAAAGAAAATAATAAAGGGATGAAACATCGACGAGTGCCTGGAAGCATGTGTTCCATAGGTTGCTATGACATTGACAAATTATCGACTTGAGTTTCTATAAATTTCAACAAAAGAACTTCTTTCAAAAATTACATTTCTGATTACAAACTTGTCATCTGCAACTAATTTGCAAAATCAAAAAATATTGTGGTTGGCTGGGAAGTTAATTCATATATTTTTTGAAATTTTCACGCCTTGCCGAGCGACCGGCCGATCAATGATTTTGAATTTTTTTTATATGTGTTTAAAATTTTATATGTGTTTTATATTCGAATATGCCAACTTGGAACAGCATTCTTAGAATATTGGAAATTTTTTGTACAGGTTCAAGAAAGAAAACAAGTCAAAGAGCTTAAGGGCAAGAAAATATACAACATGGAGATGCTTGCCGACAAGTACAATCAAAAGACAGAGCTATAAGAGAAAGAGCTGCAGTTTAGGAAAATGGAACTTGAATTTAAACAAATCAAACGACTAGAGTTGAACGGGACTCAAGACCCATGCGAGACTGACACTCTCTCTCTCTTGAATTTTGTTCACATGTAATATCATTTATTTATGACAATATTCTAGTTGGTTAACATACCAGCTGACTAATCTCAAATAAGGACGGTATTGCGTCACATTTAAATTATCATGCACAATACAGTATCAACAGTATTTGTATATATGTAAAAATTAGAAAACTGAATCAGGATAACCGAATCAGGGCTTAGCTACAATTAGAACTACTAGATGAAAGAAGTGCTCCCCTAGAACTGCTAAAGAACAGGTCTTAGTTTTCAAACATGTTTTTGTTATGATACAGTTTAACAATGAGTACAAAAAAGGAAAAAAACAAAAAAAACACATTAACTTGTATTTCTACAGAAGATTGTATACTGTCTTATGGTATATATTTTATTTATATTCGTATCTATATTTACAAAAAGAAAGACTTCGCATCATAGAAATATTAGACCTAGAATGCGTGCTTGGTAACGGGAAAACAAATTGAAAACAAAGATGCCCTTATAAATCCGTCATGTTGAATTTGAGCAGGAGTGCAAACTACAAAGTATGAACAAAGCTAAAACGGCTAAGTTTTCATCGTCAAAAGGTTTTGTCTTGCTGTCTAATTTGTAGTTTGGGGATATATTTTGAGATATTAAGTTCTTTAGATAGATAGATAGATAGATAGATAGATAGATATAGATATTAGATAGATAGATATTTTATTAAAAGCCACTTTGCCGCCACTTTGGCTGAATTACGTAGATTTTTACAATATATCTTATTGGATTCTTCTGAGCCCAATATGGCAAAATATTAAGTCGAGACTTCAATATTGGGCGAGACCGAAGGTCGAGCCTAATATTGAAGTCGAGACTGAATATTTTGCCATATTGGGCGAAGATGAATCCAACAAGAGTTTTATTATATCGAACAAAAGAATTCTACAAGAAAAAATTGTCAATAAGCGATAAAGTAATGCAGCATGAATAATACAACGACAATATTACAACCACATATTTCGGCGGCGAATTTGCTTAAATAACTAAACAAAAAGTTAATAAACTTATTTTTACAAATGTGTGTGCGTAAATAAACACAATGCCATGTATGTTTAATGCAAATTTGACCTAATTTTAACGAAAAAATAATATTACTAAACCTCGAGGCTGTTGCAAACAAATGAATTTCGCGAAGACAAGTTTTCCCGCGCTTTTATATTTTTTGAACAAAACTTGTAAAAAAACTGTATTCATGTCTCAAATTCTTTTCATTAGTCTGCCATATCGCTAGTCGTATGTTTGGAATTGACCAAACTTGTGAAAAGGGTTGAAAAACCATGAAAAAAGCTACGATTGATTCGCAACTGTCCAATAGGTTCCTGTCCAATAGGTTCCTGTCCAATAGGTTCCTGTCCAATATCGTAAAATATTGGATCGGCACGTGACCCTATTAACGATTACTGATTGGTTAAGTGCGCGTGAGTGTATAATAATAGTATATAAATTTAAATATTAGACATGTTAACCTACTAAATTATTATAATATATCATAGATGGCACAAAAGTGTTCCTGAAGCGGTTAGTGTTAGTCATTGGAAGCTCATAGAGGCGTTTGTGTCTTAAGTTATATTTCGGTTGGTGTTTTGGCGGCAGCAGTGCATGGAGTTTATGGTCACTGTCAGTTGATATTTTAAGGAAAAGCTTTCCACACAGTGTTTGTCTTCGGACCGATAAGGAGTTTAGTCCAGATTGCTGCAGGCTCTCTGAATATGGCTGCCCAATAATAAATTATAGCCAAGGATCGTTTCTGTACTCGCTCAAGATCGTCAGACAAGTACTTTGGTAAAGAGTGGTGGAATACCGGCGATGCGTATTCGAGAGTGGGTCTAATACAGGTACAATAAAAGTTAACAATATCTGCCTCAGGAACATTTGCACGTTTGAGTTGTACCAGACAATACAGACGTTTGTTCGCATTCTTGATGACATGGTCGACATGGAGGTTCCATTGTAATGAGTTTGAGACTATCAGGCCCAGGAGTTTTGCGTGGTCCACTATTTTGAGTGGAACGTTGTCTACTTTAATTGGGTCAAACTCCTGATGAACACGCTTAAAGTCGATCCTCAGCTCCTTGCATTTTTCTGCGTTCAAGTGCAGTTTGTTGTCTGCAGACCATTTCTCAACAGACGTGGTAGCGGATTGGGTGTGGGCAAGGGAATTCTTTGGAATGATTTCCGAAATTGTCGTGTCGTCAGCAAACTTCCACGTACTGAAAGGCTCGAAGCAAATGACTGTGCAGTTACTGACAAAACAGAATTATCAATTTCCCAAACATATATATGTTATAGGTATGTTATTATACTTAACATAAGCTTCAATTTAAGGTAAAATTCAACCTCAAACGCTTCGCAAGGTGTTTTAAAATGTTCTTAGTTATAAGACTAAACCGCCGTTATCGATAAATTTTGAGTTTGAAATTATAAAATGATTTCAAATTTTCGCGTTCAAACAACTTTGATTTCTTTATTTAAAAATTTTAATATAACAAAAAAAGGTAATCAATAAAGAAACAATGAAATTATATGCTGTCTTTTTCATTTAATTTAAAATATACGTATTAACGATCAGCTTTTAAAGCTATTATAGAAAAGCTAACAATATTAACATCAATATTTAAAACAAACTTACCTTCGTTAACGTCGGCGACTTTACTCCCTTCTTTTATAGCAATTCTTTCGCCGTTATTTTCTTAGAAAGCTTTTGAAATTCACAAAATCTTGCAAGAATGAAATATATTTGCAAGAAATCATCAAATCAAGAAATGTTTGCTATTTTGCTGTTGTCATGCAGTCGTTATAATGCAAATTTTAAATTTGACCAATCAGTGTTCGCTATTCATGACGGTCCGCCATATTTTTGAGATCAGTGAGGATGACCACCCAACCCAACACCCCAACACCGTTGGTCACCCACGCCCGCGATCATTGACGAACTTTAGACTTCGCTAATGCTTTCGTTTCCCCGGGTGTAAATAACCGTTCGGAATTAGTACCGTCGCCCCAGGCTTACACCCGAAACGGGAATCCGCGCTGTTGGCTCCTGGATAAAACAGCTGAAATATTTTTAGACCATACTTCAGCATTGAGTTTGAGTTTGTCTTGATATTTCGTGTTTTGTTTTGGCTTGCACAACAACGTTGAAAATGCATTTTCAAATGACGATCCCTGTATATATTCTGTTCAGAACTATTTATTTTCGTAAAAAAACACTGAAATGGGTTTTTAGACACTTTTTCTCCTCTAAAAAACTTTTTCCACTTCAAGTCTCGATATAATTGTTTTTGCAAACTTTGTTGAAAAAAAAAACAATTTGCGCACTCCCTGCAACCGCGCGAAATTCCTTACCGCAGGAGTCTGGGTTTAGCCAAAATGCCCTTATAAATCCGCCATTTTGTGGAGACAAAACTTTTACAGAGAAAAGTCTATGTCTATTATTTCTATGCTTTGCATCCACCTTAGTTGGATGACCTTGAGTTGAAAAGTTACCATATATTTAACACAGATGTGCCAGTGTCAGTTTATATTAAAAATAGACTTAAATATTTTTACCTAGCTCAGTGATTTAATTTGACATATATATATATATATATATATATATATATATATATATATATATATATATATATATATATATATATATATATATATATATATATAAAAAGACATAAACAACAAATTTCAATCTTAAAATTTTATTTCATCGCTACACAGTGTTTCACGTACAGCGTACCTGAAACGCTGTACGTGAAACGCTGTGTAGCGATGAAATAAAATTTTAAGATTGAAATTTGTTGGTTGTGTCTTTTTTTATTTGCTCTACTGATTTATTGGTGTTGAGCACTCTAGTTCACTACGCACAAATTCAATATTGAATATTATATATATATATATATATATATATATATATATATATATATATATATATATATATATATATATATATATATATATATATATATGTATATATATATATATATATACGGATGAAACAGACTGTTGTGGTTTTTCCTATACGGATGAAACAGACTGTTGTGGTTTTTTGAGGTAAAACGAAAAACTATATTACGCTCTATCTATATATGGTATTGAGCACTGTTTGTGTTTCGTAAACCAAAATCTTAAGCTATATATATACATATATATATATATATATATATATATATATATATATATATATATATATATATATATATATATATATATATATATATATATATATATATGTTTCCAATGATGGAGGATCTATATAGATTAAAGTATGTGCTAGTAAAGGAGCCAAACAAGCGAATGTGGCAGTTTATAATGACAGTTCCTATTAAGTAATATATTCAAATGGGCCGCAATAGAAGTTTTCCAAACATCCATTCAACACTTACTTTAGTCATTCGCTTGTTAATTTAAACTCTTGTTGATCAGCTGTTAAATGGGCACAAGGAAATTGAGCCAGTATATTACGTGCCAGACCATATCACTTTATATAACATATGGTTCACCATTGGGCATCTCCAATCTTTGCAGTTGTTCAATTTGTTAAGGGACCATTCATTAATTATGACCAGGGGAGGATCTAGGGGTCGTCAAACCAGTCACGCGACTAACGTAAAAATTGCAAACTTAATTAATGTCTTAAATATTCGGCCAATAGTCCAGTTACTTTTTATCATGCAGCAGCACCTCATAATAGTCCAGTATCTATTATCATGCAGCGCTAGCAATTAACATTCCAATGGAACTGTAGTCCAGTGATCAAATTTCATACAGTGGTTGAGCCGAGGAGCTTAGTCAAGTCAATGAGCAGGAGTACGCAAAGTTGGTCAGTGAAAAAGTCAAAATCCAGTGTTTTGATTGGTCTAGACGCTTATTGCCATGGTAACAAGCGATTTTTTTCGATTTTGACTGATCGGTGGGGAGTTCTGACCGATTTACAAAAGTCAGGGGCGATCCATTAGTCGGAATATCATTAATATTTGATGCGTGGTAAAGTCTTTCCGAGCGCGCGCTCATTTGAAGTGCCATGTTGTAGCTTTGCTAAAAGATTCAATTTAAAGATATCTACGGAAAATTCGGAAATGTCTGCTGCTCCAGACTCCAGTCCTTGTAGTATTCACGAAACGGCTCAATCCGCATTTGCGGTGAATGATTTAGCTGTCTTACAAGACTGTTGTGCTGATCTTGGGAGGAAAATCAACGCTAAATATGGGAGAGTTCCATTCAGTGAGCATGCAGTTGCTAAGCGGCGTAAGCGCCACGAATAGCACGAACTACAGTTTGACTGTTTGAGTAGAAGTATTGGCGCCGAGATCTTTATTCTGAAATGCAATAAGGTAAATTTAATGTGATATGTAAATTTTATTTCGTTCTAGACAGGATAACAATATTTATAAACGAACAAGATGCGCGCCATGCATATGTAAAATTGTAACTTGAATACGCGTATCTTGATTTAGGTTTAGCTATGAATTTTGATTTACACAACAAATTTGCATATTTGTAATTCTGCGGTTGAAGATCCGTCAGAACTCAGAAGGCTATTAAAGCGGCAGTGTCACCCGCTGCGCATCCGTTCTGCGCATGGATCAACTTGAAAAAGTTCACCCAACTTTTTCAAGTGTATCGAATTTCAATATGGCGTCTGCCCGGGGCGTCATGCTGACTCAGTACGGGGGTTCAAGGAAAATGCTGGTCGAAAAAAGGTGTTTTCGAGCCGAAAAGAGTACAGAAAAATTATGGGAGAAAGAGCACAGAAGGATCTATTTAAGTGATAAGACATTTGATACGTGGCAAGAGGCCAAAATAAGTGGTGGACATGAACATTCAAATAACACTAACTTTGCTGCACATCTGTTGTCATTGGAATTTCGCCGCAGGTAGGTTTACAATATGATTTTCAATATATTTCGAAGAGTAAACGAGCCTAATGTGCAATTTATTTTGATTTGTATTTAGGGGAATCAGCGTCTGCAAAAATACTACCAAAACAACGACGAAATTCAAGCACATCGATTCTGGACCTTTCTGGTGGCAACTGAGTCCTGTCTTGACAACGGAAGTAGAACACAATGAGTCTCATATGGTTTGAAGAACAAGCAAACATCAGCCAAGGTATGAAGAGGACATTCACTTTTATATCGGATGTGCTTTGTAGTGGGAGTAATATTAATATTCAGTTTCAAAATACGATTTTGCAAGGTATATTAGACAAAGAAAAATTGTGTCAAAAATTATAAAAAGAATTGGTTTATATTTATATAATTTACAGCATTGACCACAGGTATTAGTGCTGTATAATATAATATTTCATATTCCCTGCTTTCAGAACCCCAAACATCTACACCATTAAAAATAAAGGTCAGATGACAAACCCTTTCTCGTGTTGAGTCACCTCTACAAACTACAAAGTCATGAGCCTTTCCAACAACAGAAGGACCAGGCAGTGGGATGTGAAAAGTGTGAAAGTTGAAAAAGGATTCAAGTGCATTCCAGTTCTCATTTCAAAGGTTATCCAACGAGCAACAGATTGACTGCATGATGATGGTTATATCACCTGTCATGTTTCCTTAAATGCAACATTGCTCCCCACTGTTGCACATATATCACACCAGCAACATATATCACACCAGCAACGGTGCGGACACACCAAAACAAAAATACTGATTTTTGCCATAACTGATGTAACAGTGACACATTCCAATTTTGTACAAAATATAAAAAATCTTTATTACTTACTATATACATAGGTACATAAATTAGAATAGAAATTATTAAAATCAAATTCCCTTTGCTGTAGAAAGTTTACCAAAGGTTCATGAATATTATTGTTCTCTGTACCACATATAAACTCCAGTCAAAAGTCTTATTTTGAGGACTACACAAGAGGAGCAAACACTGAGATTCCCTTTGCCCAAATATCCATGCCGAGCCCATGTGTGAACAATAACATAATCCGTACTCCTTATTCCTCTTCTTAGGCTTCTAATTGCCAGTTTTCTCACTGTGTCTTCATCCAGTGTATGAATAAATGCCTGTGAATTTAATAATGTATTTTATAATAAAATAATGAAATGACTATCCAACAGCTTTACCAATTTCTAGCATCAAAGCAAGATAATTGGTCTTGTATGGGTTTAAGTCATGCTATTGTTTCCATCACAAAGCCTCGCTTTGGTATCAAAGCAAAGCTTTTGGTGAGAACAACAAAATGGCCTGATACACGGTTCACATGCACAAGCCCCATATGCATTGCAATTAGCTTCAATTAGAAGGTTAAGGGGTTGGTTATTTTTATTTACTAAATAGCTATTATACAAAATGTTAGGATATTTCACTTATATAAATATATAATTATGTGTCATTTGGCTAATATTCAGGCCATCTGAAATAGGAAAAATCAGATCAGCAACAATTTGCCATCAGCAAACAGGTCTACAGCATGTTAATCTGCCGCCCTGACATGATGTCCTGACAAGTCGGCAATCTGCCTTTGCGAAATTATTTCCCGTTTCAAATTTCAGTCTGTGCCATCACTTCCCAATTAGACTTTATACTGTATCACCCAGGGATGAAACTTGAGGGGGGGGGGAGTACAAATCATCTGGATTGGCAGGGCAAATCATCTGGATTGGCAGGGCAATGAAAAAATTTAAATGATATAATGTAGAGTTATTCAGTGGCTTCCAGAGGGAATTGAATAGAATTTATAGACCTAAATTTTACAGATATTGGTAAAAAAAATAAGGGTTTCATGCATGTTTTAACAGGAATTTGTCCGAAAAAATATTTTGATGCATAATTGAATTGGTTTATGTCTGAAAAATGTTTTCGCCCCTTTTTTTGAATGTCCGGAAACCGACCCCCCAAATTTTTCTACCTCCCCCCCGCTCGCCAACATTTTTGGGAGAAATAGCGGCCAAAAAAATTTTTGCTGCAGGGCATCATCGACTTTCGCAGGGAAATTCTAGCAGACACCACCCAATTAAAAGGGGGCTAGTTTTGCCCCTGGTATCACCATTCAACAGTTTCAGCCAAAGTTATTCAACTCAAAGATGCAGTACAGTCAGATCTGTGCATCTGCTCACAGGAGGCCTCTTTTTATTATACAAACACTTTATTTAGGTTTTTATTTCATTTTATATTCCAGCAAAGTTATCCTGAAAATATAAATAGTCGTCCAATAAAATTCAGTATTTTGGATACTGAAATGTAAACAAAGCCTTTGTTTACATACGGACTGTACCGCATCTTCAAACATGTTTAATATACCTCATTTTAAAAACGTTTTAAACAATTTAATAAGATGTATTAGAAATTCACAAACCTTACAGTATCATCGTTTTCTCAGTATTGACAGTTGGACGCTGTGTGAGGCCACGAAGTACATGCACTACATGGTACTTTCGCAAACGTTCTCCTACAACAAAGTAGGATAAACAGCAAATATAATGTGGTATAATATGCAAACACAAATAAAAGATACCGTCAAGTACATTTGATTCGCACACATACCCTATTCTTGCAAGGAGACTGAGGAGTTTTGCGAGTTCTCCACACTTGCTGCTGGCAGAATACACAACGTTCTTTAATATTTGCCTTACGCGGGCAACCTCGGTTACTGTTCTCGTTTCTTTTGGTGGCACATGAACTTTTACAACTATAATTGTTAACCTGTGTGAAATGAAGCAATTATTTGGTCTTTTCCGCCGCTGAAAATGTGAATATATGCACATTTTTATAGTCGGAATGTTGTGATTCCGACCTTTCCCGACATATTCCGAAAA